GGGGGCGCAGGTCAGGTCGTGAGGTTGGCTGTCCAGAGCGGCTACGGCGCAGCCCGCAACGGCCGCAGAGCGGGCCGGCCGTACCGTCTGTGCCAAACTGGAGAGAGAGGGGGGGGGGGATCGCTTATCAGTCCGTGCAAGTGTTGCTGCTCTGTAACTTAGAGCAATTCTCGTGTAATAGACGAGGGGGAGGGGGCAACAACTCCGGGAATCATGTGTACACCTTTCGAGGAATCATCAGGATAAAAATAAATCGAAATCAATAGAAATCGCTTACACTAAGCGGGAAACTAGAGCATTTGGTATAAATCAGTCGAAGTAAGCGTTTTCTACCACTAGAAAACCCTCGAAAAACCTAAGGAATGAATATGAGCGGACGGGAATCACAGGGAATCAAGAATTTCGGGAATCATGTGTACACCTCAAAAGGTAGTTATTGCCCCCTCGGTACCAGAGCATTCCGGTAAATCTGTAATGCTAAGGGATGTGGGAAAGAAATAAAACGGAAATCGCCTTGCTTTAACATGGTGACTTCCGTTTTCTTGATCCATGCGTTCTTGTGCATTTCAGCTTTACCGGAATGCTTTGTTGGAGTCATGGGCGATAATGGCAAGCGTTATTTGGGACCTCGTGCGTCGGCGCCGCCTGCAAGTTAGGCCGGCCTGCACCACAGCGAAGCATGTGGCGAACGGACGCGGCCTACCTACCCGGAGGCGTGTCGGTTAGTGCGAGACCCCCCTCCCCGTAAAAAAAATTGCTTGTGTATACGTTAGTTAGAAGAGATGGAAGCTCTCGTAGCGCCTGATAGGTAGGCAACAACGTGTATACGGTGCATACGTGTACTGCGGGGTGGCCTATCCCGAGTCTCGCAGGCGCCGAGCTGCCGTCATCTGCCGCATAAATCTGATAAAAACAGACGTACTTTCGAGATGCGCGACTTATACCGCCCACAATCCGAACCTGGGCCACGTTTAGTATGGAGGTTGAATCATGACAGGCTTGGGAATGTGGTTAGCCAAGTTTCTTTAATGCATTCAATCACACTTGAGCTCGGCCAGGACCAGACTCCCTGAAGGGTCATCATTACCGCATTTTCTGACTGACAGCGCCGATCGCTCCACAACAAATGGCTAGTCAAACGTGATCGTGATCCGTATGCTGCAAAACAAAAAGCGTAATTTTATTATTTATTCATACAAAAATTACTATTTAAGTGTTGGGTTACAAAGGCGGCATACCCCTTTCCACTTTTCATGGTATCCATCGCTTCGTTGATTGCAGCCAACTTGAAGGATCCTGTGATGTAGTCGTCGACAGGAATCTTGCCCTCCGCGACCATTTCGACCTGGAAGAAGAAATAGGACGCCGGTTCTTTTTTTAACTCGCTCACAACCACAACCTAGGGCGACCCTTGCGCGGTCGGCCTGCAAAGATGCTAACCAGAGCTGGCAGGTCGTTGCGGAATCTGTATCCTCCAAACAGGCAACCGGTGAGGGCCCGTCCGTTCAGAAGGTGACCGGGGAAGATGGAGAGGTTGTGCCCCTCGGGTACGCCGCCGATCACCACGCAGTGCCCGCCGGCGTCGCGGACGGACTCGAACGCCTCGGCCTGCATCCATGGACAAGATGCGTGCGAGCATGAGAGGAGGGCTGCGAGTGTGTTATCGTATGTGTTTATATTGTCCAAATCGGGTTCCTGCTGCTCACGCGCCACATACCATAGCGACCGCGGTGCCGGAGCTCTCAAAGGTAAAGTCGCAGCCTCCGCCGAACCTCTCGGCCAGGTACTCGCTCACGGGCTTGTCGAGGGTCTTGGAGTTGATAAAGTCGGTGCAGCCGAACTTGCGAGCTGCACAGCACGGGCAGTCCCATAGTCGTTATCGACCGCTCCAATCGGGCCCCAGTATAGCTTTACACCGCCTGCAGCACCTTACCGTTGGCCTCCTTCTCGGGGTTGATGTCGACGCCGACGATGGTGGAGGCCCCGGCCATCCTGCAGCCCAGGACGATGGACAGCCCCACGCCGCCGAGGCCCCACACGGCGCACACGGAGCCCGGCGTCACCTTGGCCTCGTTGAGCGCCGTGCCCATGCCCGTGGGCACGCAGCACCCCATCACGGACAGCGAGGCCGTGGGCACGGACTTGTTCACCCTGGCGAGCGACGTCTCCGCCATGACGCTGTACTCGGCGAAGGTCCCCAGGCTCGCCAGCTGGTGCAGCATCCGGCCCTTGGCTTTGACGCGGGTCACCCCCGCGGGTAGCACGGCGCGGAACTGGGGGCGCGGCGGAGCAGACAGGCATGAATCAGTAAAGAGGTGTGCGGTGCTGGAGCTGTGAATACCGTCGCGTCCCGAGTCGGGCGTCCCGTACGTTTGTCAGCTGGCACAGGTTGGTCCGACTCGACTGGCAGAATGAACACTTGTTGCACTGCGCACCGCAACATGGGATGACGTGGTCACCTAAAAGACATATATGAAGGAAATATTATTTTTCGCGAAGACGCGCTTCCTTTCCGATAAAGTGCCAAGCAGTTTAGTCAACAATGCAAGTTGTTTTTTGAAATGGCCCCCACCTTAAAAGACTATTATGTGCTCTTAAAAGTACATGTTATAACTTGTAGGTAGGTATCCATAACTTTAACATAACATTTTACTGTGTTCCCCTATGTTATGACTGGCTTTAATTATTCGCACTAAGTAAAACAAAAATATGTCTGAGCACCCTGAGCACTAAACGTTTAGAGTCCAGATCGAAGCTTTTTTTGTTGCACTATACGTCTAGCCGCTATAGACTCTAGAGCTGGGAGCTAAACGGAGCATCCCAGGCAAAATTAAAAAAAGTTCACAGCACTAACAGAAGGGCAATATCTCATTTTGAGCGAGGACAAAAGTCGTGTGCTTTAGACGAACGTTTAGTGCACGGAAAGAAACATTTTTCTCGGTGCGTCACGTCGAAGTTATGGGCCCTTGCCAAAGTGGTTGCTTTGAATCTCGATAGTTGTTTGATACCTGGCTGAACGGAAGTCACCTCGGGCCCCACGCTCTCGACGACGCCCACCCCTTCGTGGCCGGGGATGATGGGCCAGCCACCGGCGTAGAATCCCTTGATGGTGTAGCCCTTCAGGCAGCAGAAGTCCGTATGGCAGATGGACGCGGACAAGAGTTTTACTCGAACCTGTAAACGTGGATGAGGATATGTCACGGGGTCACACATGTGGTGTGCATCGAGAGAAATATTAATTAAAGGTAAGTGTAAACAGAGGCGTTCTAATTTGCGAGCAATCTGTCATCTGGAGGCCGGGATAAAGAGAACAAACTGACAGATAACATTCGTCGGCAGGAGGTACAGTGCCGCTGCTGGTTATCTCGCCGCGGCCGTGCCATTGCCACCACATTCACATTCACATTCGCATCACAAGGCCACAACCGTCGTCGCCGCACCCGGAGAGCTCTAGCAACCATCGCATGGTTACTTCAGTGGACAGCCATAATATGGTTCCAAAATTAACAATCATACCGTTATCAGAACCATATTCCAGTTCTAACGGACATCTTACTGTTTCCTAAACCATCACTTTATGGCTGTCCCTGAAGTAACCGAACGATAGTTGCTCCAGCTTTCCATTTTTCTGGGTGCGTGCAGTTCGAGCCCACCTCTCCCTTCTGCGGCGGCTCCACCACGACCTCCTCGATGGACAGCGGCTGGTTCGGCTCCCAGCAGACCGCAGCGCGACACGTGATCGGCTGGAAATAAAAATGAGATGTAAAAATAAATAAAAAGTGGGCGTGGGCTGAACAGATTCAGTTTTAGAGTGTGTCCGAAATGCAAGCTTCGATCGGTCGGTGTGCGGTGCGGTGGGTCAGTGATCAATCGGAAGGTTGTCCCTTTTCCCGCCTTTACCACCGTAGAATGGGAGAAAATCTGTATGCAGACTCTGCACTAAGAACAATTATTTCTCTCCTAGGACACGGCGGTCGTCTATTGCGTCGTATTTTGATCCGAGCACTAAACTTTTAGTTCCCAAGTGAGAGACAATGAGCATGTGAGGCCAGGCAACAAAACGTTTGTCCCGACGGCAAGTTGTTTAGTGTGTCGAAAACATTCGGTCTGGGGACTAAAAGTTTTTCTCAATGTGTACTGTCGCCAACCACAACCTCACTCTCATACCTTCCCTGCCGTGGACATGTTGTTGTTGTCTGTTGTCGCTGTTGCAGCCGTGCTCGCTCGCTCGTCCGCGGACCGTCTGTCACTGCCTCGCCCTGGCTGTCGTGTGTCCGAATCCTCTACTAGTTTGGCCTAGACCGTGAGGCTGCGGCCAGCCGTTGCGAGCCGCGCCAGTCACATTCGGCTGCTACCAACACCCGCGACGCCGCGAGGGCCGCGACCGCGAGCGCCCCGCGAGATTGCGGTCTGCGAGTCATCAGGATATGCATCCCCACGACGGCGGTGATCCGCGGGGGCGACTCGCGAGCTACCCCTCATGTCAGAAGGGGGGGGGGAGGGGGAACTCGCGCCTACATCGCGAGAAGGACGGGGGGCGCAGGTCAGGTCGTGAGGTTGGCTGTCCAGAGCGGCTACGGCGCAGC